CTATTTTCTTGTATGGACATTGAACTAAATAAAGTTTCCCAATGGTTTAAATCAAACAAACTTTCTCTGAATATTGAAAAAACAAAATGGTCTCTTTTCCATTCTAATTCTAAAAAACGTCTAATTCCAATAGAGCTTCCCAGTCATTTTATTGATGGTGTTTTAATTAAGAGAGCAACATGTACAAACTTTTTAGGGATATCAATTGATGAAAATCTCACATGGAAAAAACATATCCTGCAAAATTTCGAAAAGTATAGGTATATTGTATAAAGCAAGAAGCATGCTAAATAAACATATTTTAATTCAACTATACCACTCATTCATTCATTGCCACGTAAACTATGCAAATGGGGCTTGTGGTAGTGTTAATAAAAGTAAATTAGAACCTCTTCATCGCCAACAGAAACATGCTGCACGTCTTATTAACTTTAAATACCGTTTTGCACATACTAAGCCTCTCTTTATTGAAATGAATATTTTAAATATATTTCAACTAAATGTATTTAATGTACTGTGTTTTATGTTTAAATGTAAAAATCGTACAGCTCCGGTTTCTTTTCACAATTTATATTCCTCAAAAGAAAAAAATAAGTATAATTTATGAAATAATAATTTTATTTTACAACCTGTTTTTAAAACAAATTTAAGCAAGTCTTGTATTTATTTTTGAGGGGCGTTTCTGTGGAACAATATAGTTTTGAAACATTTTGATTTTTCTCAAGACTGGAACTTCTTTACAATTAATAGAAAATTAAAAAATATTCTCTCTTCTGAAAACATACTTGTATATTTTTAATTTTAATTACTTTGATTTATTTATGTTTATACGAATTCTTATATCTAAATTATTTGTTTGATCACATACTTGTATATTTAAATTTAGTTTTGTTAACTTTGTTTTGACTGGCTTGTGTAACATGTTGATTTATACATTTTATATTATTCATTTATATTATTCATATATTCATGCAAAACGTTAATTTTTACTTCTAAATTTTATTTTAAAAACTTTATTAGACTTCGTTTATTTATTTTATATACATTATGAAATTGTTTTTAAATATGAAATGATTGTCAGTTGTAAGCAGTTCTTGATGAGAAGATCATAAGATCTTCTGCAAGTCTCCGCGTTCTTCTATTGTTATATTTAACAAAAGTAGTAATTTTTATTTGTATGCATTTCTTATTTTTTTTTATTTGATTGTAATAGTTATTTTGAATAAATAAAAAGAACAAAAAAACAAAAAAAAGTATGTTTTAGCAACGTAAAGATCCTACTACACAGTATTTTTTTAATTTTTGGCGTTTTTTGTTTTTGTTTTTGTATTCAATGGCTGATGATATATATATATATATATATATATATATATATATATATATATATATATATATATATATATATATATATATATATATATATTAACTAACACTTAATCTTTTAACTTAAATTTAATAACTTACATTAATTTTGGCATATTTTCTTGAAAAGGATCTCACCTCTGCTACAGCATAGAGCTCTCAATGGTTGGTAAACATTAACTCAGATACAACTCAATTTCTTTCAGCTAATTGTTATCGCAACAATCTGGGTCTTCCTATGTTTATGAACGTAATGTACTCAATGAGTCATCTACCCTTTGTCTTCTAGGATTAATTCTTTCTAAGAAACTATATATTAAATCCATTGCAAAATTAGCATCTGCTAAGGTTGCATCTCTTTTTCGTGCTCGCCACTTTCTTACTCCAAATTACTTGTTGCACTTGCACTCTTTAATAAATCAGCAACAGCTCCACAAAATGAAGTCTATTTTCTCATGTAAACCCTAAAATGTTGGTTTTATTTTATGGCAATAAGGTTGGAACTACTTTTTTATTACTGTTGAAATTTTGTGTAATAATTTTTTAATCTTATGTTAAATTCAAGTAAATAGATTGTATAAATGACTTTCAGTTTTTCAGCTGTACCTGAAAATGTAGGTTTTTTGTACCTTAAAATGAAGGTTAGATTTTTTTAAAGAATTAAAAAGTTATATTTTAAATTTTTCATAATACTTTTTTGTTTTGTTTTTACAGATAAAGTATATTAAAATAAGACCAAAGTTCAATCTTAGGTTAAGACCTAAAACAAAAAATCAAGCAACTTCTTACAGAGACAAATTTGAATGGAAACATTTTAGCAAATGCTGTAAATTTTTTTAAAAAAAAACAACTGAGACTACAAATCTGTTAAACAAGCTGGTTATAATGTTGGTCCTGGAACTATAAATCGCATTTAGATGGTGCTAAAATTGGTGAAAATAAAAACCATCTTGCAATTTTGAAAAGGATGAGGAGAATGCAGTAGTATTGTATGCAAAAAATAAAAACAAATCTCTACAAGGGTTACAAAAAAAGAAATGTGCACAGTCATTTTAAATATAATAAAGTATGCATGTTAATTAAAACCTGAAAAATCATTATTTATACTGCAAGCTTTTACCTAATGCAGAAAAGCAATACTCACAAATAAACTATCGCATTTTTTTCTGGTCAAGATTTATGGCAAAGCACCACAGTCTAACTCAAACGAGACAAGGGAGAGTTTCTATGGAGTGTGCTTTACACTGCACTAGAGAAATGGGTGAAAGTCATTTAAATGAACTAGCCGAAGAACTTAAAATTACAGGTATAATTAAGAACAGTGTAAAACTTCAGAAGGACTGTGATACTGTATAATAGATACAACTCCACAGTTCGTAATGATGAAACTCTACAGTTTGTAAACATTAGAGTGACGGGAGTGCAAGTAGATTAGTGTTTGCTGGAAAGGGCGACAGTTGCTATCAAATTATCCATGAGAACAGAGATTGTATTACTATTCATTCACTTGTGTCTTGTGTTATTTGTCATCATACTAGAAAACAGTTTAGATTTACATTGGCAATAATGATGGTGTAAACTATGATTTACTTGATCCAACATTTGAGTTACCCCTGTTGTGTCTGGCGAACCATCAAAAAGATAAATGATGTTTTAAAGTCAGTAGCAAGCAATCCTGCATATTATTAAACAAAAAATGAAAGAAGCCTCTGAATTGATCATCAATATCAATTCTTGACATTTTTATAAACATTTTATTTCTTTTTCTGATTAAAGTTGTTGTTAATTTAAAATTTAAATTGTTAATTTAAAATTTATTTGTTAATTTAAAATTTATTTTTCATTTGATAAATATGTCGTAAAATTTAAATTGACAATGTATTTTAAAGGTTTTAGAAAACCAATGTGCTCCTTAAAATCAGGGATTATCTTTTTCCGGATATTTCCAGAATTCCGGATATTTTTTTAAATTTTTAGTTTTTCCGGATATCCAAAATATTTTCCATACATACAAGTTTAGGTGTATATTTTTGCAATATACTTGTTTTTTTTTTTAATTTTTCACTCAGTATTTATACAAAAATTATTAAATGTTTGGAAAAAAAATTTGAAAAAGTTTATCTAGAAGCAAAATTATAAGGAAAATAATGGAAAACATATTCCGTATTTTTTACGGATGTTTTACCCAAACATTTTCCCGGATTTTTAAAATTAATTTTTAAAATACCTGGATGTAAAATGTAGGTCTAGTGTTTTTGAACTAGAACAGTAATAAGATTTAAATCTTAATTTTAGGTTGTAATTGTAGTCCTTGTTAATCATTTTCATATATAGTCTTTATAACTTAATTCTTTGTTTTAAATTTGAATTTTATTTTATAAGTGAAAACAAGTGTTTTAATTTTTAGAAAAAATACAGAATATCATCAGTTGTCAGAGTATACTTGACATTGAATGGACTGTTTTAAATTATATTCTTTTATGCCTTGGTTATTTCCTTATATAAAATAAACCTTATTCTAATTGATTTGAAAATATAAGAGACCAAAGTTCAATTACCAGCATTTTAAGGTGCACATACATATTAATGCATAAATACCTTTATGTATTTATACTTTCACAACCAATAAAAGATTTTATTTATGAAGTAGAAGGTGCTTACATAACAAAACCGTCTATTTGAAAACAAAGAAAATCATTTACAGAACTGAGTAGGTGAAAAAGGAACTTGTCAATGATATAAATAACTTTATCATTAATGAATGTCCAGAGTTGAATGTTAACCAGTTATTGGGTTGGTATGTTATACCTTATATAGAGTATATACCTTATAAATGTAGTTACCTCTTATATATAGTTAATGCATAAAATAATAAGACCATTGTTCGTGTTGACTTTTTAAATTAAAACAATAACTTTAATCAAAATTTTAATAGAAACAATAGATAACTTTAACACAGATAAATAATAACTTAAATGCATTCCCTTACACTAGTTAGTGGAACAAATGAGAAAATTATAATTTTTTTTTTTTTTTTTTTTTTTTTTTTTTTTTTTGCTTTAAAAGACATCTATTTTCCAACAATGAACAAATTATTGGAAGGATGGAAAAATCTGTGTCCTACATCTAGTCATGTTTTAGATGCAAAGGTGTTTCTGTTCAACAAAGAATTATACAAATATCCAATATATTTTTTAATTTTTAATTTTTCCAGAAGTCTTCCATAAATAAAAGTTTTAATGTTTTTGCAATATGTTTAAAATCTTTTTAAGTTATTACCTATACAAAAAAAGAAAAAAAGTTTCAAAATAAATTGAGAAAGCCATTAGTTTAAAGGCCATTAGTTTTTTTTTTGCAATCTTTCAGGGTTTTTTAAATATAACCTTGATGATTTCTGGAAGATGGTTATAAGTATCAAATGTGTTTTGAAAATGGCTGTGCTGGAGCAAGGCAACAAGCATTTATGAAATCAAACGAAATGATAAAAAGTAAATCAAATGTTTCAGCATGGTCCTTGAAACTAATATGCCATAGCGATAGTAGAAAAAATCATCAAATATCAAAATAATTACATCAAGTGTTTTTAATAGAGGGAAACAGAAACTAATCAAGATTTGCTAAATCTTATTGTTCCAACT